GCCCCCTCCTCTCCAGGCTGAGCACCCCCAGCTCCCCCAGCATGGCCCCGGAGGAGAGGGGCTCCGGCCCTCGGATGCCCATCTGAGGTGGAAGGAGAAGCGGAGACACAGGGGCGTTGCCCGCAAGGGAGGGTGGCAGCCCCCTCCGCTCCCAGCGCCGTGCTGGTGGAGGAGCGGGCGCTGGGGCAGGGCCTAGCTGTGGAGCACGGCAGCCATCTGCCGGCCACCTCCCAAAATCTGCCTCTTCACACCCTCCCGAAACCAGGCGTCGACGGGCAAACACCTTCACCCCTCTGGCGTGGTGTTGTTTCTTCCCCAACACGGAGCGTCTTACACGCGCAGGGAGAGGCACATTTCTTTCCCAAGGAGGCTTACGCAGTGGTGTTATGAAAGCTTGGGCATCCGTCTGCAGGTGTGCTAAAATGACTGTCAACAGTAGTTAAAGTCAGCTAGTGTGGTGATCTTGTAGATCTTAAGGAAATGATGCCTTGGGCCCAGTTTTTAGCAAGCAAAATTTGTCAGCAGCTGTGGAGCTGGCTGTAAATCTGCATGCTGGTCGCCCAGTTGCTGCCCAAGAAGAAGTCGGGGACGAGGCCGTGTCTCTGGTGAGACCAGCCATGCGGGTCCGAGGCAGGCGCGGCCCCTTCTGAACTCACTTCTGTTTTCCCGGTAACCGCTTCTGCTTGCTGCTGCAATAGCCCCGGTTACACAAGGATCCCATGGTATTTGGGAAGGAGTACCTGCCTGCCTTTACTAGGAGGGAGAAACTAAGGGTTGGGAAGTTCAAAGGCTGGGCAGGAGGGCAGTGCCAAAATAGACCAGAGCTTAATAGCAGTGCCCTGAGCCCTGGGTTGCTCTGCCTGCTCTGTCGCCTGCTCAGGTGATGAGCTGTTTTCAGCTGTGATTTCGTGTATAACATGCCTGTTTTTAAACCTTTTCTCCACAGTTTATTTATGACGAAAAAGTTTCCTGGTAAGTGAATCCCTTTTCATTTTTTCTGGTTGTACCACAAAAGCTGCAATAAATAGGGTTCATCAGGAGAGGAGGGAAAAGCTCGAAAGTTCTGCAGGGCGATTCAGGCAGCATTTCCTGCTGCGTGAGGAACCTCAGCGCAAGGTGGGCTGGAATAACTCATTTTCTGAGCCAGAGAGGAAACCCTAGGAGAGCGTCACTCAGACTGTTTCCCGATACAGCAGCGGCAGTCGGTGCCCTCTGCCCACCCTGCCGCAGCCTGGGATGGCAATGTGCTCGGCAGAGGCAGGGGCTGCTGCTTGGGTGCCAGTGTGCCGGGGATGTCAGCCAGCTGGGAACAGAAAGGGCCACCCAAGCAGTCATAAATAAGTGTGTTCCAATATTTGGATTTTTTAATAACTTAATAATTTAAAAACCAAAAGCTCCTAAGGCAATATTAAAGAGCAAATGAGTGGTTTAAAGAAAGAAAGAAAAAATATATATATGTTAATATCCCCATGAATGTGCTTAAATGTACTGCAGTAGGTATGGTAGGCTAGGAGGGCCTCAAACACTTTGAAAAGTGTACTTTCAGCTGTTTTGCTTTCATGGTTTTTTTTTCAGCACCTCTCAGGGCTTGTAGAGTGACAGTGGTAGCTTTGATTTCACTCTCAGCCAGTATTATTTAGATTACAAGCACTAGGGGGAGTCAGGCTTTTTGGGTTGCATGTTTTCTTAAACTTGTTCTCACTGGGGGATTTATGTTTAATTTCAGAGGAGGATTTCTGAAACACTGAGTTTTGCAATGGCTTGTTTTTCTTTGTTTTGTTTTGTTTTGTTAACTAAAATTGACTCGAGGCCCAATTGTATTTGACTGTGCCCTTCAACTAAAACACATCAATGCGGAAGCCAAGTGTTGAACTGCCAGAAGCAGGGAATGAGATATTTATATGGTTAGTGCAATGTCTCAAAATCCTTAAAGAGAAAATGGCCCATGAGTTTTAGTATGTAGCAGTCTGATAATGGATGATTTCCACAAGGATTAGCAGTTTGCTGAAGGGAACTGTGCAGAATACAGCATTTTGGTCAATGAAAAAGATTACCTAGAAACAAGTTCTAAAAGTCATACTCTATTTTGTTTCCATACAAGTTTCACTAGTTTGACACAGAAACAGTGGAGGAAAAAACCTGACAATATTTCATCAGCAGTTTAAACTGCTGCATGCTGCATTCTCAGTGGTTATGTGGCAGCAGTAGCGGAAGAGCAGCTGCCCCTTGTTCAGGTTGTCTCGGCGTGATCGGTGTGCTTTAGCATGCTCAAAAAGCCCAGCGACCTGCTTTACACCCATGCAGGCAGAGCGGGACGACTGCTCCCCTCCCTCTGCCACAGCTCCCGCAGGTATTGTCCGTACAGAAGCGTCGGTGTTCCTTGGGTGCGCGATCTGTTCACTGAACTTCTGGGTTTAGTCGCTTGTTCTTAGCTGACGGGTTGCTTTGACCAAGTAAAACCAGAGCAGAAGTCAAGAAAACAAAGGAGGCATCGCACATGGGTGTGTGTGAGCCATTTCTTTACGCATCCCCTTTTCTAAATGTGCGTTAAGACAACACAAGAGGGTCAAGCCTTTCCGCAAGTTTGTGGTGTGACAGATGGGGGAATGTCTGAACTCGGGCAGCTGACTGCCGTGCCCTGCTCTGATGTGTTTTCTGTCTCGCTCTTGTTTGCAGGTGGGAGTCTTTAGTCTTAGTGCTGATGTATGCCATCTACATCATTATCATGAAGTAAGTCAAGCATGCCCTCGGCTTGTTTAGATTGTAAGAGGCTCCCTGCTCCTGTGCTTTTCCAGAGGTTGCAAAGGTGATTAGAGAGAGCCGCAAGCTGTGGGCAGGGCTTCCATTGCATCACCCAGCTTGCACACCAGCAGCACCTCCAATAACAGGGGTTAAAGCACCTTGCCCTGTCATATACTTATCTGTAATTTATCCTGATGAGGTGGGAAGGGGCTGCTTATCCCCATTGTACAGATCTGAGGATTAGACAGCTAAAGGTGGATGATGCTTTATGGATCTCAGCTTGTGTGAACCGACCAAGGCTAATGCAGCAAGTCTGTGGCCAAGCAGAGAACCGAATCCCACCAAAGCAGCCTTTTCTGACTTCGCTTTAGCATCCCTACTCAGAACAAAACACGGGGGAGGTTCCAGTCTACTTTTTATGGGTGCACAAATCCACAGCAATTTGTTCTTGCTTGCTTGGAGGCCCATGATAAAACTACGGCACAATCAACATTGATTTTCTGAGCATCTGACCTGTGTAATTTCTTTCACGCGAGTTTATGCTAGCAAAGTTAGTCTGTTCTGCTGCTTGGTTCCCCTCCTCCTGCCTTGTTTTTAAAAGCCAGTGGAAAGGAAACCCAGATTTCAACTGGAACATTCAACAAAACCTACCAGCTGCCAAGCACACCAGTGGTCTTGTCTCAGCAAGTAAGAGTAGAGATTTGTTTCGAAATGATGAATAGAGTAAATATTGTGAGAGCAATTCTCAGTGAGAACAGCAAAACACTCAGGCTGGGTTGAAGGGAACACAAGTCAGAATTCATCTCGCTTCTAATAATTAGAAACTTTTTCTTTAACATGGAGGGTAGCTTCACCCTTGCAACAATTAACTGACCAGCAAAACAGACTGTTTTAATGCCTGAATCTAGAATGGATTTTTTTTTTTTTTCTGAAAGCACTGCTGTAGTGTGGACAGATGTTTCAGACCTGTTTGGATATAGCTGGGGAGGTTGTCGACCTGGTTAGGGACCCCAGCCAGGTGTTCACAGTGATCTACCCTTGCCTTTGAGTATCATGGTGAGATCCTCAGCTCATGTTTGTGTCAGCTCCTAGCTACTCTAAATAAAATAAGAAGCAAAGATTATTTTTTTCCCCCAAAGTTGAGACAGAACTTAGCATATGGTCTTGTGTTTCTGTGGTAGGTCTTCACAGGTAGAACAACAGTCATGCTCAGGTGTGACTATGTGATAAAAAATAAATTTGGATGATGACAAGTAATCATCATTTGCTATACAGAATATTAATTACACATAATACGTAAGCGTACATGTCATTCAAGATTCATGTCTTGTATCTTTCATAGCCTTCTGGGTATGGAGAGATTGCATTGTATACAATTTAGTTAGAGCTCTGGCATACTGTGGCTAGATTTCCTTAAAGCCAGAGGGGTTTTCTTCCCTCCCTTAGTTGGATCACACAGGATATGAATCTAGGAAAGGAAGACTGTGAAGAAATCCACATAGAAGAGGCAAAGATACATCTAGAGTTTATTTCATTTGTGCAGGTACAACTCAACCATACATCACTGCTTCGAAAGGAAGACAAAAAACTCTGCAAATATGGTGAATGGTTTAGCAAATAACACGGAAATGGATGATAACAGCAACTGCGATGCCACAGTGGTATTACTAAAGAAAGGTAACTGTTCCAGTAAGTCACCCTGCTTGCTTGCATCATTCTGAATGTTTACAAGTTTGTCCGCTAGTCATGCGGTGTGGTCTGCTTCTGTCTTATCAGTCACGAAATGGGCGGGGAGGTGGCCCTTTTGTAACCCCCCTGCCAGATGGCCATGGCTCCTGTGCCTGTGGGCACGGCATGGCGACACCAGCCACCGCATCCTTTGCTGCTGGAGGCAGCTCAGGCCTCCTCTGGGTAGTTCTTGCTTCTGCACAAGTGCCTGGCTCAAAGGACTCCTCCAGCTTCAAGCCTGACTTGCTCAGGAGCTCCTTATTTAGACCGTTACGGCCATGCCAATGTAAGTCCTCCTGTGGGCACCATTATTCTGCACTGAAGATGTCCATTTACATCTAGTACCTCCAGTCAAATTTAACTCCATTCCAAAGCAACACAAACTGAGCAGGGAAAAATGCCCTGCTTATACTAGTGTACGCTCTCCCCCCTAGTGAAGGGAGGGTGGGGACTCTGTTGGTCTAGGTAGCGTGCGCTTACTGCACGTGCCATCTTGAATGTGCACAACATTTCCATGTAAACGATCTTTGAGTGGATTTCACTTTGGCTGAAATCTGCTTCCATTTGACTTTAGTCACGATCACATCTAAAAATGATTGTATTCTTCAGCTTTAAAAAAAACTCACCCGCTCCGTAGCTCAGCAGCAGTAGTTCGATGCGTGCATTTGCAAGCATGTGCTAAACTGTATTTACAGAGGATAATTCTTTTATCTTTGCAACAGTCAGCAAGCATGTGCAGTAACTGCTTGGGATTTATATGCACCTATCCTCAGGAATAACCCCCCCCGCCCCTCCAGTCACTGGTTTAACCTGAGAAGCAGCTCTGTCTTGTCTCAAGCAGTCCTGGTCTCTGACTACTGATGGGCTGCCCTCTTTGTTTTGCTGGGCTACAAAAAAATTAACAAAAAATAGGTCTCTCTTCCTGCAAACAGTGATTGAAAGACATAGTCTGTATACAGTAAGCAACTAAACCTGAAATGTAGAGGGGTTTATTTGCTGACATCAACCCCTTTGAGTCTACCAGAGGCCAGCTATCATGTTACTGCCCTATTGCTCAGGGAAGGCTTTTGTGAGTGCTGTGTGCTCTGGTTTGGGGAAGCTGCTTTTATGGGAACAGCCGGGGCTCTCCACAGTGAAATTGTGCTGGCAAGATGACTACTCTCTGTACCAGTAAAGCTAGACTGGTAAAACTCAGTAAGCATAAACTTAGGCCTTAGTCATCTAGGTTTACCCAGTGACCTCAGGGTTATGCACAAATGAGGCGGTTCCGATTGTGGGATTTGGTTTAAATCTCCCCAGAATGCTTTTTTGCATGACACTGCTCAGCTGCTAGTAATTTTTTGTTTTGGACACTTGCGGTTACTCAAACTGGCTGAGGAAGGAAGCCGAAAGGATTGCTTCATTTTCTTGCAGATTGTTCCTGTATTTACTTGGCAGTGGGCCACTGGAGGCCCAGACAGGCCAGTCGCACTGCTGTGCACACCAGCCAGTAGCATGGGGTCGCACACAGCACCCATTGCAACAGGTTTTCTGACACTACCGTTTGTTTTCTGAGGCCTTTTCTGAACAGAGGACCAAAAAGAATCAAACAGAAGGATTTCTGTGTTTGGGGCAGTTCCCCCAAGTGCCATGCAGGAAATGCCAACGTGGAAAAAGTAGCAAGGAAAAGCTGTCTGGCTGTTTTGGTTTTTTTAGTATAGATGACCCCACTTATCTACCCCAATCCATGGAAACCTTCTCAGTCAGAAAAAAAAGAGACGCTAAGTCTGAGGAGATACTCTTCTGTAAGAATAACAGTGGTGGTAATGAATAGTAATCCTATGAAACATTTGCCAGTGTTCAGTGCTGATTTTAATCATAGAATCGTTTAGGTTGGAAAAGCCCTTTAAGATCATCCAGTCCAACCATTAACCTACACTACCAAGTCCACACTAAACCAATCAAGGGTAGACCAGACTGAACCATGTCCCAAAATGCCACATCTGCCCATTTTTTGAACACTTCCAGGGATGGGGACTCCACCACCTCTCTGGGCAGCCTGTTCCAATGCTTGACTACTCTTTCCATGAAGAAATTTTTCCTAATATCCAATCTAAACCTCCCCTGGCACAGCTTGAGGCCATTTCCTCTCATCCTATTGCTAACTACTTTGGAGAAGAGACCAACACCCACCTCGCTACAACCTCCTTTCAGGTAGTTGTAGAGAGCGATAAGGTCTCCCCTCAGCCTCCTCTCCTCCAGACTAAACAACCCCAGTTCCCTCAAAACAGAGATGTGTCAGGGAAGACCTCAGGTTGCTGAGTCCCAGTCCTGGCCCAGATTTCACAGCCGAGGTAGCACCCAGGCACAGGAATGATGGACGCTGGCACTGTGCCCCAGCTGGAGCGCGGTTTAGGTACCTGACACTGTCTCCTTGCTCCTTTGTTCCCACATTGTGGGTCGCACCCCATGGCCTGGCATGTGCGCTTGCTGCCAGGTTTGATGGCACTTCCCAGCCCTGAGCTGCAAGCCCAGGATGCAGGCTTTTCATTTGCATTGGTACCCTGCAGGAACACAGTCACAATTTCCTCACCCCTGTGTACGGTTAATGGTGGGTGAGGCCAATATCCTCACAGAAGTGCAGATTCTAACAGTGGAATTAATGCAGCTTTACCGCAGCACCACCTTGGTGGAATAGCTGCTGTGGAAGCAGTGATCTGCCTAACGCAGGCCTGTGATGAGCTGTGCAGAGCAGATTTAGTTCTCTGTAATCAGTGTGAGTGGAGATACCATGCTGGCAATTTATTTAAAGACAGAAATGTGGGACATGTGAAGACAGAAATTAAGGACAGAGGAGGCATATTTTGAATGGTGGTAGCTGAAGGAATGGGTCTTACAAAGGACTTCTGGAACCCGCAGGTTTATTCTTCTGAGAGCCATGCAGGGCGAGAGAGAGAGAGACTGCTGGAAGAAGTCCTCAATTTCTCTTTGTTCCTTGGCTGCAGGAAATTTCCACCGTAAAGCCTCAGTGATCATGGTGGATGAGCTGCTGTCTGCCTACCCACACCAGCTTTCATTTTCTGAGGCTGGGCTCCGGATCATGATAACCAGCCACTTCCCTCCCAAAACACGTCTCTCCATGGCCAGCCGCATGTTAATCAATGAGGTATGTCTTTTATCTCCCCCCACCTCCAGTTCTCCTTCTGAATTTGCCTTTTCCTGTAGCAGTGTTTGGATCGAAATGGAACTTTGTGGGATTTTTTTTTTTCTGGATCCCTGATAGCGTTTTCCCAGATTTTATCCCTCTGGTACTGACTTTGCTAAATCATCCCTTACTATCTGTCCCCACGGAGATTTTAGCAGAGGAAGTTTCAAGTCATTATCTGGTTTTGTTACCTGTAGCTGTTGCTCACAGGAGGTGACCCCTGCATTGACCTGACATTAATATCATAGAATCATAGAATCGTGTGGGTTGGAAAAGACCTTTAAGATCATCCAGTCCAACCATTAACCTAACATTACCAAGTCCACACCAAACTAATTAAGGGTAGAGTAGCAACCCCATGCCTCCTGGCTTGATGGCTGGATCGCTTGCACTTACTTAATAATCTGGTACTCCACTGAGTCTGCACTTAGTCTGTCCCTGGTCTTGGAATACTCCTGCAGTCAATTCTACAGCCACTGGTCCTTCTCTTATAAAAGTTATCTTTGAGGTTTATCTAGTCATCTGCAAGCAAGCATCGCGTAATGCCTGATCAAAATTCATCCCTTTTGCTTTTAAAGCCAAATTTTTAAAGAACTCTGCACATCTCTCTTTCTCTGTTCCTCCCTTTCTCTTTAAAAAAAAAAAAAAAAATTAAAATGCTGTCTTTCAGCAAGAATTTGTGCCTGTATTTACAGAGGCAAAGGCTGATCAACAGCAGGACTTACACCAATGGTGAGTCAGAAGTAGCAATCAAAATACCAATCAAGCACGTGGTTGAGAATGGAACAGGCCCCAGCAACTCTGCTGAGCGGGGCGTGAACGGCACACGGCGGGATGAAGACATGGCTGAGGCTGGGAATGAGACAGAGAATGAGAATGAGGATAACGAGAACAATGAAAACGATGAGGAAGAGGAAGAAGACGATGACGATGATGACCATGAAGGGCCATACACACCTTTTGACCTACCCGGTAAGAAGCTCCTGGGTTTGTGTTGCTCCAGAAAGCAAAACTCAGTTTGGGTGTGCCAGAAAGCATTGCAGATGCCTGTTGAGGTGGAAGTGTCTGTGAGAGCTCCCATTAGCCTGCACCTCCCAGTGTAGTTCCTGGTCACAGGTAAAAGATGAGAGGAACTGGGAAGCAGCAGGAACTTCTCAGGATGCAGGCTGCTGGGCTTGGATGCACCTCTGCTGCAGCTCGTGCCTTGGCCCAGCGCTGCTGCTGCAGTCCGAGGGGAGAGGCAGCAATCTCCATGGGGTGGTTTCTACCCCCAAAACCTAGATAGCCCTCTGGAGAGGCCCGTCGCTCCCTGCTGACTGCAGAGGAAGCTGAGGATGGTGGGGCCACTGGCGAGGTGCCTGAACGCAGGCCAGATGTGTCTGCGTCTAGGCCTTACCTTTGCTGGGAAATGAGGCGCGCTCTTACCTCAGTGGTAAGGTGTAGTGCTAGTGGTGGTGCTGATGTGGACCGGCAACAAAAGAAGGTCCTGGGCACCTCTGCTTCCTGCTGTTAACTAGGCACGGCCACAGCGTCTTCTCGCTCTTCCTGGAGGGCTTAGAAAGTCAGAACAGCTATGTGATTTGTGGAAAACCACGTGTGCCTCGGGTTGCGGAGCACTGCGCCTGCAGGATGGAGATCTCCTTTTTGCCAAGTCCCTCCTACCCCGTCAGGGCTCTAGTCCCAGGACATAATGTGTCGCTGCCCTACCTTTGACTCACACTTGCCAAGCTGGCAAGATCTGCTGCGTTGCTGGCAAGATCTGCTCTGTTGCAGATGAGCCAGAATGCTGTAGGGACCGGTTCTGCCCTTCACAGGTGAGATACATTTTGGGGAACTCCTGTTCAGATCTCCTCACTCAAACAGCATAGCTGTAGTTTGAGTAAGGAAAAAAAGGGAGCCTGAAGAGAATAATTTAGATGTCCTATGGACCATGACACTAGATTCATAGTATGGGAAAGATTGGCATGGACCTCTGGAGATCTCTGTTTCAAACCCCTGCTCAGAGCAGGTTGCCCAGGGGCTGCGTCCAATTGAGTTTGATTATCTATAAGGATGGAGATCCCACAGTCTTTTTGGGTACTTGTTCCAGTGTTTGACCACCCTCATGGTAGGGATAAGAAAAAAAGAAAATGCACACCTTATGGTAGCATCTATTCTGAATTTCCCTTATTGCAAGTTGAGACCATTGGCTCTTATAATTTCCTTGTGCATTTCTGTGAAGGGCCTGGCTCCATCTTTTCTGTACGCTCCCATTAGGTGGTTGAAGATGGATCAGATCTCTTTCTAGAACTTGCTTATTATGTGGTACCTGTAAGAACTTCACCCAGGGAGGGTAGCAGGTGTGCTCTGACCCATTACTTAACAAACTCTCAAGTAGGCACTTCATACCCCTTCCCTGTGCCCCACTCTGCCCTCCCATCTCTGCCATCATACTGTGATCTCCTGAACAAGGAATGTCTCGTCACTATCTGTTTGAATAGCAGTTAGGCTGAGGTGTCCCTGCCATCTTGCTTGTTAATATTAACAAAATAATAACATTCTGGACTAAAGCAGACTAGAATTGTGATTGTTTCCTTTTTTTGTTTTACAGCTGGCAAGACAGAAATCTTGAAGTGGCTCTTCACGTGGCCATTGAGTTTTGTCCTGTACTTCACAGTGCCCAACTGTAACAAACCCCACTTGGAAAAATGGTTCATGGTTACCTTTGTTTCTTCTACCCTCTGGATCGCAGCTTTCTCCTACATGATGGTGTGGATGGTACGTACCGACTAAAGCAGAAAGCACAGCCCAGGAGAGGTAACAGAAGTGGGCTTTGTCAACTTAGAGAAATGTGTAGAAAGTTCTACATACCTAATTTTTTAGATAAGAAACTTAAAGTCTGCTTCCATTTCTATTAGACCTGTCCACACTGAGAGAAGAAAATTAGGAGCCAGTAGCCATGGCCTTTGAACTTGATTCAGAGCTGGCATTTCACCCAGATTCTTTAACATGGGGAAAAAATGACACTTGCAATTTAAAACCTCCTAGTTGTGCAGGGCAGTGTAAAGAGGCCCTGATGCTAGTAAGAATCTGGCCTCAATAGCTTTTCCTTTTCTTGGAGCAAGCAAGCTTGAGAGACAGAGTTGTGAATGATAACACTCTGCACTCAGCATGAATAAAAGCGTGACATTCAGCCAAATTCTTGCACAACTACTCTAGTCCACAGGAACTTAATTCTGCCTCATTATCCTAACGATAGAAGGGGATAAATAAAAATGAACACAAGGAAATCCAAGCATAGTTGGCCTGTTCACAGGGGAGAAGTTTTGTGCACTGGCTGGATCATTGAGCCTGTTAGCGTGCTGCAGGCTTCATTACATGGTATGTGTAGGTGAAAAGTGTAAGTTTTCCTCATTAGGATTGCAGTAATACTGCAGCATGGATTGTGTTTCTTTTGGGGTGGCGGTCTGTACTCTTAAGCAGAATCAGACAATGATGGGGCATTGGCATCAGGAGAGGGTCTGACAAGGGAAGCCTGGTTTTGGGCTGCTGCACTTGTGATGGAGTGGGCGATTCATGGTCTGTGTTGGCATGGGACCCGAAGAGCATGGAGATACCTCACTAAAGCACTGGCCACTGCTTCCTTGCTGGGAAGGGGGAGGCAGCAAAAAATCTTCACTGCCTTCACAATTCATTCTTTTACTAAATTGCCAAAATGAATGCCAGGCTTTTCCCTGCAAACTAATCAAAGCAGTTACAGAAGAGGGGGTTTTATTTTGTTTTGTTTTCAATAACTCATGTTACCCTGAACAGGGAATAGAAAGTTACTTGATTTCTTCTGCTTTTCATCTGCGAGGATAAAGTGTTTTTCAAGAAAAAAGCTATCCCAGCTTTCCATAGCTGAAATACCAGAGCCCACAGGGTCACTGTGCTGCTTTTAACATACGGTTCACATTTCTTGGACTAAGCTGCAGAGAGTTCAGAAGAGCAATTAAATGTGGCTTATTGGGAAAAGGGCATCATTAGACAAAGGCATCCAAAATTCAGAAATATTAATCATTTTGAAGAGCACTAATTTGTCATAGACTGCATAGAAAAGGAAAGAGGAAATTAAAGATATCTCCTCTCTGCCAATAGGAATTGTTTGCAGTCATTTGGGGGTATGTCCCTGCATGTGGCTTTTTCATAGTCTAATGAACCATGGGGTTGGTTTAGCGTCTGCTTAGCTGTTATTTGTATATGATAATGTCTGCAAACTTCAGCCAAGATCAGGAGACTGTTACACAGGGTAGTGGGCCACCATATAGTCTCTTTTCCAGGTTAGTGTCAGGAAAATTGTGGATGAAAGGTATGAAGCAGCTAACCAAAGAGGGTACATAGCAGGTCAGTGCTATCCTCTGCTAGGTGATGAATATACCAAAAAAGCCTGTCACTGCTTCTCTTTAAAGAAAGTGTGAGTTTGCACTGAGCAATAAACTCTGTCTCACATCATCTTGCAAAATTGGGCCAAACTAGTCTCTGATTTCAATTCTTGTAAGCGGTTTGACAGTTTATTTCCTCTCCTTAGGTGACAATCATTGGTTACACACTGGGAATTCCAGATGTGATCATGGGCATCACTTTCTTGGCAGCTGGAACCAGCGTGCCGGACTGCATGGCAAGCCTTATCGTAGTAAGGCAAGGTAGGTTCATCACAGAGATGTCATAATGCTATGGAAGTGTTTCCTTGTGTCCTCTTCCTCTTTAGGTAGCACAGATGTGTCCTGAATGTGCAAAACATAGAGAGCCCTTTTCCTGAGGCTGAAATTAAAAATAAGAACAAAGAAGGAAATTAGTTATGTTGCTATTGCAAAGCAGCTAACAGGTTCTTAATGACGGTGTGGAACAACTTTTGGCACTATTGTCAACTTCAAGCCTTCCCCAAAAGCCACAACGTTTTTTCTTAATTTAAATATTGGTGGTATGGAATTGTTTAGAACATGGCACAAGGGTCTTTCGGGTCACTTTCCAGCTTTTCTCCACAGTCATAAGGATGGGAAGATACTACTGGTTTTAAGGAAAACATTTGTTTTTTCCCCCTTGTGACTCCAGCAACAGGTGTTTTAAGAGAAGAATAAAGTTGTCAGTACTGCTTTGGGGAGCAAACCCAGTGGCTCTTCACTGAAACAACTGGCTCCTTAATAGACTACATGAAGACCTAATCTAATCGGTCCAGGATAGAAACTCATGTGTCATGGTTACAGTAAAGCATCAAAAGCCCCACTGAGCGTGGCGCAAGAGTGCTGGCAGGTCACAGCCGGTGGCCTGGGTCCCCACAGCAGCGGAGGATTAGCTGAGGGAAGTTCCCAGGTGATCCTAGAGGGTGGATTCAGCCATTCAACCCTACTGGCTTTGTATGATGGGGAGGGCAAAGGGGAACGGGAAGGCACGGGGTAAGGGGGATCTGTGTTAACCCTTTGCCTTAATCTGTGGAAATTGTCTGGATTAGCTCAGACTAATGTATTTCTGTTTAAAAGGCTTTTCTGAGATGTGTCTGATCGTACATGGTTTCCATTCCTGCAGGTATGGGGGATATGGCTGTGTCCAACTCCATCGGAAGCAATGTTTTCGATATTTTGATTGGCCTAGGCCTCCCGTGGGCTTTGCAGACCCTAGCAGTGAATTATGGATCATATGTAAGTCCTACATTCATTCACACGATTCTTTTTATTTATCTGTTTATTTAGTTAGTTTATAAACCAGATCTATTTAAGAAAAAAAAATTAAAATTCTGGGGATTGGGTTTGAAGAAACAAATAGCTTTGCTCTATTACGATTTGGGAGAAGTAGCAATTAATTGTCAGTGGACATTCCTCATCCTTTGGAGCACAAGTACTTCCATTTCCTCCTTAAAGGCAGCACTGTGTGCTGAAATAAGCTAACTCGCTAGAGTGTACTGTGTTTTCACGCACTTGAATATATTCCAAATAAGGAGAATGATCCTGTTTTTAATAAGACAGCGGGGATAAACACATAGGTGGAAAGTAAAGGATAGGGCACACCTGCTTTTGGTATGAAAAATTCTAGTGTTACTAAACTTAACAAAGTGGAAGAGGAAAGAAGCTGTTAAATAACGGGATATTTCAGAGCATGACCATCATCAGGAAACACTGCAGAGCTTTCCTGTTTGAGAAAACCTACCCAACACCAACAAAATCATCCTTTGCTTCCCAAATGACAAAAGAGTCACCTCCCCTGCCCTCAAACTTGTTGCAAGCTCTCTTCTGAGAATAAAGAGCAGGAGATGCCATGAAGTCCCAGAGGGAAGTTGCTGTTGCTACTGCTGTTAGCTGGACAACACTCAGACAGCGGTGTAGGACAGAGGAAAGATTCGTGATTACAGTCACTGGGTGAATGCAAAGTTAAAAGACTGGAGAATCACAGAATTGCTGAGGTTGGCAAGTACCGCTGGAGATCATCTAGTCCCCAACCCTGTGCTCAAAGCAGGGTCAGCTAGAGCAGGGTCCTTAGGACCATGTCCACTTGGGTCTTGAATACCTCCAAGGATGGAGACTGCACAGCTGCTTTCAGCAGCCTGTTCCAGTCTTTGACCAAAGGTACTCTCAAAGTAAAAAAAGCGTTCTTATGTTTAAATGGAATTTCTGTATTTAAAATTGTGTGCGTTGCCTCTTGTCCTTTCAATGGATACCGCTCAGAAGAGTCTAGCTGCACCTTCTCTATCCTCTCCCTTTAGGTATTCATACATATCGGTACGATCCCCCTGAATCTTCTTTTCTCCAGGCTGAACAGTCCCAGCTCTTTTCGGCCTCTCTTTGTATGTCAGATGCTACAGTCCCATAAATCATCCTTGTGGGCCTTCACTGGACTCGCTCCAGTAAGACCATATCTTCCTTGTATTGGGGAGCCCAGAACTGGACCAAGCACACCAGATGTGTCTCATCAGTGCTGAGTAGAGAAGGATCTTCTCCCTCTACCTGCTGGCAACACTTCTCCTAATGCAGCCCAGGTTGCTGCTGGTGCTCCGTGCTGCAAGGGTGCATTGTGGACTTCAGCCTGGTGTCTGCCAGGATCAAACAGGTCTTTCGCTGCCAAGCTGCTTTTCAGCTGGTCAGCCCCAGCATGTACTGACGCGTGGGGTTATTCCTTCCCAGGTGCAGGACTTGTCCCTTTGTTGATGTTCATGAGTTTCCTGCCTGTGCATTTCTCCAGCCTGTCCAGGTCCCCCTGGATGGCAGCACAACCCTCTGGTGCACCAGCCACCCCTCCCAGTTTTGTATCAGCTGCGAACTTGCTGAGGGTGCCCTCTGCTCCATCATCCGGTTCATTAATAAAGATATTAAGCAGTATTGACTCCTGGGGTAAGCCATTAGTGA